CAATGGGGATTGGTTAAGAATTCTTCAGTAAAAGACCTTTTCCTCTCCTTGTGATGAATGCTTGTTCATTAAAACTGAAGGTTTTTGTGGGAATTCCATGGGAAAAGTTTTGCCAGTCCAGACAGAATTTCTGGTCAAAAGAAATGAGGGTGAGAGAGAGAGAAAGAGAAGGAAATCTGCCCTGCCTGGTACAGCCTGTAGCTCTGGGGTTAGGCTGTTCACATGGGTTCATTGGGGCTGGACAGAAGCATAGAGGGAGGTTAGACCCTCTCTTTTGCCTGATTTGGAAGAAAGAATCCTGTCTCTTAACGGTGTAGGAATTTCTCCAGGGTGGTTGATTTTGGTGCCACAGTCTCCCTCTTCTTTTAATAAGAAAAGATTTGGGTGCAAAAGAGCAAAGTTCAAAAAGTAATCTGCTGTGTTTGGATGGCAGATGTTCCCTATGTCCCACCATAATCATCCACAGCATCTTCACAGCCACGGTGAATGATGCTTGGCACTTTGGCTCTGGTTGCAATGAGAGTTGTTCCGTGTCAGGAGAGAAGCTGGGGGAGGCTGCCTCATCCCCACGGCTGCACACAGCCCTGCAAGATGAGCATGAGAACTGTTAAACACAAACCTTTGGCTGGATGCTACTAGACACCCTCCCTTCTCAACTTTGTGGGGTAAAGCATCCCATCTCTTTAATAACAGCCAGGCAAATCCCTTACTTCATCCATCATTTTTATTTTTATTGTGCAGGCACAAAATGTATGTTTGAATATGTATACTTAAGGGACCAGGAAAGAGAGACCTTTTCATGAATCTGACCATGTATTCCTCAGAAGGCCATTATTAGGGGAAAATTGTTGCATAAATAACGTGCAACTGCAGATGTCCAAGCCCTGTTTTCCTGCCATAGCTCATGGCTTGAGAGACACTACTTTAAAAATATGTTTTAATGAGCGGTAGAAGCAGTCAGGAGTAAGAAGGAACAAACAGGGTTTTAGAGCTGAGAAGCTGAGGTAATTATATTTCTGCCAATGACTCTTCTCTTTGTGTATGTAAACATTCCCTATTGTTTTTTTCTGTAATTGGTTTTTTGTAATCTAGATTTGCTGTTTCATGAAGGTTTCACTCCCCAGCAGCAGCAAGTGACCAAGTGTTACTTTGTTTTTTTCGCTGGTGGTCAAGTCCAAGAAGAGATGGCAGAAAACAGTAGAATGTGACAATGCCTTTAAAATAAGTAAATAAATGGATATAATATTATTATTTGTTCCAGGAAGACTGTGTCCCACTGACTTGCTATCTTAAGTGTTCTTTCTCTAAGAAAAGTTTAGTTTAGGGAAAGAAGGAAAACTTTTCTTTCTGTGCCTGTAACTCCCATTAACAGGGAATAGGCTTTTAAGCACCCTGCATGTATAATAAATATATGCTGGTTTCTGAGATGACAGCTTAATTTCATACCTGGCATTAAACTTTCTAGCTTTGCCATAGGCTTTTACTGTTCTCCATGAACCTGGCCTTGGCAACAACAGCAAAGTTTCCAGTAAGCAGTGTGACTGGAACAGGAGGACTTCAGTGTCCTGGAGCTGGGCTAGCATTTGATGGTCCCTTTGTTACCCATGAGACAATCTTTCAGGGTGACACTGCATGCAGTTCATGCCAAGTCCCAGACTAGGGAAGCTGATGGTATGGATTTCCCAGCTGATTTTTCTGGCTTTTGAATACCCAACTTTTAATATTGATATTTATTTTTAAAGCAAATTAAGTGCTGTTAGAGTGGTAGCCTGGAGGAAAGAGTCTCTCTGGGTTCTAGTGCTAGTTAATACGTTCTGCTTAGTAGACAGATGTCACTGAAAGAAATTTCCACAAGGCTTTGTCAGAGTCAATGTGTTTGCCATTCTGAGCTCCTCCAGCTCAGAGAAGGCTTGGTGGATCTGGAAGGGACTCAGAGAAGAACTGTGCCATGTGGGACTCTGCAGCACGTAAATGAGATGAAGTAGGAGGAATCTGTAAAGCAGGGAGGAACTTTCATAGCAGCTACTTCTAGATGCACATTAGAACTGAGTAAAGTATGATCTCCCTGATGTTTCAGTTGTACCACTGTCATTGCTAATGATGGGCTACTGAACGCTGGTGACAAAGGCAGAGTTTGCATCATTCCATCTATCTGATATCAACTGCACACAGCCTGTAAGATTTGTTTCCCTCAGCCTTTAAACAGCCTTCAAACAGAAACAGTTACCAATTAGTTATGTATTCTGATAGTAGATGTGACTATTCAATTCCCACAAATTTCTGTTAATATGTGAAGAGAATTTTTTCCATATTTTTATGGCATAGAACAAATGTGTAAATATGTAGTTTTATGCTGTGTAATTTGCATACCTAACTGCAAATGTATATAAAATAAGATACTAATTCATTAAAGAAATTTATTAATTTTTTTTCTCTTGAGTTCAATAAAAGTGGCATATTTCTTTGTTCTAACACACAAAGAAAGCACACTTTATTTTTTTTCAGAGTAATTTTACTGAGAGTTTTGCAAGACTCAAAGGACTTGAGAAACCCTGGTTTGACTTTGTGCACTCCGGAAGCTTTTGGGATTTAGATAGAAAAATTCCTGGAATGTAGTTCTCTTTAGGAGAAGTTTTTCTTCCTTTTGCTTATAATATAATGATGATAGAGAATTTTGCCCCAGCTCTTTTGCTTCCCCCAAGCTGTCTGAGTCATTTGCCTCACCTGATGGCCAAGAGGTGAATTGCTGTCAGCAGACTGGTAAGTGGGGCCCTTTGATGTAAGTGGTTTGTTAGGGAGCCAGCAGGCCTCTGGTTCAATGACTTCTCTGTCCATGTACTTCTTGGGAACACTTTTCTTTTTCTTTTTCTTTTTCTTTTTCTTTTTCTTTTTCTTTTTCTTTTTCTTTTTCTTTTTCTTTTTCTTTTTCTTTTTCTTTTTCTTTTNCTTTTTCTTTTTCTTTTTCTTTTTCTTTTTCTTTTTCTTTTTCTTTTTCTTTTTCTTTTTCTTTTTCTTTTTCTTTTTCTTTTTCTTTTTCTTCTTTTTTTTTAAGATGTGAAATCTGTCAGCAAAGTCATAAATATCAGCTGAGGCTTGAGTTCCCTTTCAGTTATTGTTGACTTTATCCCCTCCTGCTCCTTCCCAGTCAAGTTTCTCTCTGCTTGAGGTAGACTTAACGACACTTAAAAGTTTTTATTCTCTGTTTGTATTTGTATGGGTTTGTATGTGGCAAAGTTCAGGTGATCTTCACATTCCCAGCCTTGACAGTGATCTGAAATGCTGAGGAGAGTGAGACTTTTTGGGATCTCTGAAACTCTTTCAGCTGCTATAGTTCAGTTAGAAACCAGTACAAATGCTTTGGGTACCCAGGCGTGCTGTGCTGAGGTGATGCTGTGCAGACCTGATGGAGTTTCTTGTTGCATCTGCTGTTACCAAGCTGTGAATCAGCACCTTTTCTGTTCCCCAAATATGGAACAAAACTTACTCTCTACAGCATAATTTATCACCAAAATACAAAATATAACTAATGGTGTGCCAACAGGCAGGCAAAATACAAGGAACCTGAGCACATGTTCGTTGTGTGCTGAGCCAGTCCTGGGAGCTGGATGCTGAGGTTGTGCAGTGTTTGCTGGCTGATGATGCAAACATCTACAGATTTGGGTGAACCTGTGATGCCATTGCTGGTCAGTGGAAGCATTTTATGTATTGAAGGCTTGAGATGGCTCTTGGCTGTGGCAAGGAATTACAGGTCTTGTGGCCTATTTATAAAAATAAAATTAAAAGCACTGTAAACTGCAAGAACGAGGAAGGCTAGAAAAGGACAGCTGTTTTTCCTGCTTCTGTTTTTCATCACTCTCCTAAGGATAAAAGTTAGGAGTTAGACTGTTGTCTTTTGTTACCCTAGACTTAGATGTGTTTTCAGCTGTCTTGACTGCTTTTTTTTCCCTCGCTGTGATACTTCCAGTAGTTTACAAAGCTGAAATAATTTTTCTACTTGTGAAGGGGCCAGAATATAACTCTTGAAGAGTTATAATTGAGAATTTCCTGCTGTTGAGCCAAGTAAGTCTTACCATCTTGCAGGTATTCTGTAAGCTTCCCTTTCCCCTCAGATGGCTGGTCCATGTGAGAGGCAGCAGGCTGGCACTCTCCATGCACCCAACACTCCTTTCCAGGCAATGCTAGGGCTCTGTGTGCCAGGCTGGCTGCAGAAGCCACTTCTGGGCTTCTTCCTGTTCTTTGGTGCATGGCACTGCTGTTGTCTTTGACAATATCTTTAGAAATAGCCTTTCCTGTGTAATAGGTTATTAAGGGAAGGGCCTTACCTGCTGCTCAGTAGAAGGCAGTGCTGGGTGCTCTTTGTTTTCCGGGTGAGGACAACGGTGGAGAGTGCTGGAGAGGTGGTGGCAGAGGGGGTCGAATGGGATATCCTGTTCTGTTCCCTGCTGAGGTGTGTGCAGATGCTGTCTGCACTGGATAAGGCTGTGTTAAAACATAACCTGCTCCTCTTGGGATCATGGTGAGGTGCTGTTGAGAGGCAGGAGTGTTTTGCAGTCTGGAGAAAGAGACAGAGGGGCAAGGCAAGGGCGTTTGCCTCCTTTGTTTAACTGGAAAACACAAGTCACACTTTAGGATCTCTCTTCTTGCAAAAGGATAATCTGGGAAATGCTTACCTCATGGCTGCATTAATAGTGAATTATTTCTACCTGATAGTTCATTTCTAAAACCCAAGTGATCAAGAACTTTTCCTGCTGTTTCTGGCATCCTGAGCACCCAGCAGATAATATCTGTAGACCATAATCTTGTTATGTCACAACTAAATGTAGGAGAAAGCTCTCAACCCAGAATTCCCTCAGTCTCTGAGGATGTAGTCATACTGATGTTTGATGAGAAGAAAACAGACACAAAGGGCTCCTGATGTGAAGGATACCCACATCCTGCTGACCTGAGGAAAGTGATCTTGATTTGGTTCTTTTTCCTCCAACCTCCCTTTTGTCTTCCAGAAAAAGTTCACTCTTGTGACCAGGAGAGGCAGAGCGCCTTGGAGGAGGCCAGGCAGAACCCCCGGGAGGGAATTGTCATCCCCGAGTGTGCTCCTGGAGGACTCTACAAACCAGTGCAATGCCACCAGTCGACTGGGTACTGCTGGTGTGTCCTGGTGGACACGGGACGCCCCCTGCCTGGTACTTCCACTCGGTGAGAGCTATAGGCAGGCCTGGGAAGGTGCCTGGCTGTAAAAGATGAGCTATAAAAAAACCTAGTGCAATATTAAATCAGTTTCTCACTCTAGATCAGTCAGCTGTACAGTGCTTTCCCTAGAGTAAGCAATGCTGTATGTGATGTCCCCTGTTGAGTGTTACTATGCAGCTCCCTCTCTACAGGAGTTGGTGGACATTAACTACTGTCCATACTTTTCTCTGTGATAAGTATTCATGCAAAGCAGCCTTTTTTTTTTTTTTTTTTTCATCTGGCTTGCTTTTGTGAGGAGGAATGGGGGCTTAGCTTAAGAATATAGATTATGGGCACAAGCAGTGAAAAGACAAAGTGTCTTTGTTGCATTATCATGTGCTTCATGCTTCCATGTTGCAGCCACTTTAATCCTGATTCGTAGGGAATTAGAAGACTGCTTGTTGTGCATGGGTAGATTTTTAACCAGAGATCTATTTTTATTTTTTTTTCATTTACTCTCTATCTTGAAACTACCTGAGGAATCTTTTCACACTTGGAGTTTGGAAACAAATTGTGGGTCTGGCAAGTTGCAGAAACAGGCCAGTAAGAGCTGGGACTTAACTTAGATATAGTTATTCTGCAAAGCATGGACAGCTTTGAAAACAAATCTTAGCCTGTGCCCACACAAATTGGAAGAGGGCCCAGTGCTCTTTGTGGGTTTCAGTTGATAGCTGGTGCTGGACTTAAATGTTCTTTCTCTTTCCACCTCTGCTGCTGTTGCTGACTGTCTATAAACAGTCAGATGCTCAAGAATGATATTTCTTCTGGGGTTTATTGGTCTACTCTGCAGTAAGAAGACAAGACACAACCCATTGACCCTGAGATTAGCTCAGCTGATCAAGGCATAGTTCTAATACTGGCCTGGTTGTGGTTTTGATCCCTATATGGGCCACTCACTTAAGAGTTGGTCTTGATGATCATTGCTGGTCCCTTCCAGATCAGAATAGTCAGTGGTCAGTGACCATGTGATGATACTAAAGCTATGTTACATAGTTTAGTTTCTGCTGTTCTCCTTTTTCAGGTATGAGACCCCAGTGTGTGAAAGCGATGCCAGATCAAAGAGCACAGAGATTGATGATCCCTTCAAGGACAGAGAACTTCCAGGTTAGAAGATCTTGTCTCTGCTTTCTTACTTTGTCTCACCTTGGGACTCTTAATAGGCCAAGAATATTGTTGAGGAGATAGGGAATTTTCCTCACAGTGCATACTTTACCATGGGTTTATTCTGTGTGGGGTTTTTGTTCGTTTGTTTGTTTGTGTGTGGTTTGGTTTTGTTTTTTGTTTTTTTTTAAGATCACCTCATTTCAGCAGTGAAGTGGAAAAGGCTGGATGTGTCCTGAGCCTGTCTGCCCTTTGAAAACATTTCTGGGATTAGAATTTTCAGGAGAGAAACCAGGATGCCTGGAGATACCCTGGGGGAAGAATGGGTTCAACACTGAATGTTCCTTAGAGCCTGACCAGAACAAGATCCTTTCTGTTCAGCAGGGCTTTTCAGCAGCTTGATGCTCCCTGAGTCACAAAAGAGGACACAAGTGCCAATTGTCAGTGGATTGATTTGCTCCCTTACACTGGCTGCATGGCCCAGGCAGGACATGGTGTACTAAGGTCCCTTACCTAATGGTGGCTTCTCACTTAGCTGGACTTTATTCCTCATTTTCTGCCTGGGATAGGTTTTATTTCCCACTGCTCCTTGTTTTATATTCTGCCATCCAACCTGGCCTTGAGCACTTCTAGGCTCTGCAGGCAGTGTGCTTCTTGGCCTGTGTTAAGACACCCTGCAGAGGCCCATGTGGGAAAGACTTAAGTTCAGATCCTTGCATACCTACATATACTCTCTTCACAACCTGTCATGACTGTGGCCAAAAGTAAAAAAGAAAGAAGGAAGGAAAATGCTGCTTGTACATAGCAAATGGCAAACTGCTAATTCCTGCAGATGGTGAGATGCTGAGAGCCCAGGGAGATGACTTCTAGCAAACAGTTTTTCAGCCTTTTCATTGCCTCAACAAAAAGCTCCTTTAAGTGAGTGGTCTCCTCTGGCTGCAATAGCAGCTTACCCATTACAATGCTGACGTTTTCTGGACCATATGCCAAATGAGGGCTGAGGGGTGTGCATGTGTGCAGTGTACATAATATGGAGACAGGCTAGGGACTGTTGGTTAGCTATTGCAGAGGACAGAGCCTGTAATACTGCAAAGGAGAGACTTTTGTCAGATCCATTTGCAAGCTGCTTTCAGCTGTCAGGGCTGTACAGTAAGTTTCTGGTGCTCTGTTTGTCGTACATGTTCTTCTTTGCTTGTTCAAGAAAAGCAGAAGGTGTTGACATTGCTCTATGTTGCTGTGGGAGGCTATTTGCTGACATCTGCTGCCCTAATCAGCTGAATAATTGGTAGTGCATGGTGGTTTGGGGAGGTGAGGGATGTAGTGGTGGCTTTGTCACATCTAGAGAAGATAATTGGACTGGGGAGTGATGGGTTTTGGACAACAGCTTTGACAGTAGCATGTTGAAGTTAAGCATGCCTGTTCTTGGTTCCTTGTTCCTTAGCTTGTTCCAGGCTAGAACAGTTGTCACAGTGTTCACGGGGTAGTAAATGAAACTTTAAGCAACAAGGAAACAGCATAGTTTGCCTTTTAAAGGCGAGGAGATGGAGAATTTCATTGTAACAGGCTGGCACTGTTAAGGATAGGAGGCTCTGTTAGTCTGTGGTTATGATGGTGGAGAACTAGATGGCCTCAGCACTAAGTAACAGAAATGGTTACCAAGTTCATCTTTGTCCTGCTTAAGCCAGCAGTGACTGGGGGTGACTGCCACATTCCAACTCAGTCTGACGTGTTTCCTGTGCAGAGTGATCATGCAAAGAATGAATTGCTGTGGTAGGCACTGGCAGGCAATGCTTTCTGTGCCTGAAGAGGAGAGTGCAAGCAGCAGACCTTGCCTTGTGCTCTGGGATACTTTAATCTGTCAATTAAGGCCTCAGAGCAGCCACATTTGCCTCAGAAGATGATCCAGGAAGTAATGAATTGTTTTGTAAACTTCTCTGCGAGTGTCACCATGGGAACTCCTGTCTGCCAGGCACTTCCAGCGCATCCCTGCGGTTTTGCTGGTAGAGAACTGGGTGAGACCATAAAGCTAACCACACAGTCTTCCTGCCAGATATTGTTGATGACCCTGCGAGTGCCTGGACAAAAGCTGCAGGACAAATTGCCATGCAGAGAAACCCACTGAGGGATTCTTCTGTCTTTCCTTAGGGACTGTGTTGATGGTTGTTGCTGTCTTAAAAACAAAGGAGGTTCTGACTGATTCTGAATTGGGGTAGGAGATTAAGCCTGTGTGTTCTTGCATTAAACCTCCTCTTTTCTTCCTGCAGGCTGCCCAGAAGGGAAGAAAGTTGAATTTATTACCAGCTTGCTTGATGCTCTGACTACGGACATGGTACAGGCTATTAACTCAGCAGCACCTACTGGGGGTGGGAGGTGAGTCCAGAAAGCACAGCTGAATGCCACCCCAGTGGCTGCAGAGCTCTGGGTGCCCCGGAGGTGGGGACAGGCGGGAAAGGTGTTGCTCTGACCGATTCGGGTTCCTCTGGGTTTCTGGGAGAGGATCTGAGGCTGCTTTGTCCTGTCACCCTAGCTCTGCTTGCCTCCCACCCTTCCTCCCTGGCAGCTGCTCCACCATAAAGGTTAGTATAGCCCATTTGAAGTGTGAAATGAGAGCTCAGTGGGAGGAAGTGGCTTGTTCTTTTGTCCCTCGGTGCATGAAAAGACCTAATAAAATGCAAATGGATTGAAGGAGACCGTGTGGCCTAGTGGCTACCACAGGGAGTGAAGAATGTGAGCCAAATTCTTGGCAGGACCAGCGCGGTGGCTTTGCTGTGAGGCTGCAGCCAGCCTGCTATGAGGAGAGGAGCTGTTTTTCATGGCCCTCCCCTCTGACCAGCTGCGTGTCCACCCCTTTTGGTAGGAGCAACAGGTCAGGCCTGTTGCAAGAGGTGGGCAGAAGTCTGAATTCCTGGGGAACTGGAGAAAGCTGAGGCTGTGTCTCCCCCTCCTGCTTGACAACAGCAGATCCCTGCAGCACTGCCTCGGGACAGGCCATTGTGAATGAGTTGTGCTGGGTTTAAAAAGTGCTACACTGCCTCAGCTAGGCAAGGCTTCTGTGGTTTTGAATTTGCCTGACTATAAAAGGAGCCAGTGCTGGGGCAGCTTGCAGGGATGGCACAATGACTGATGTGCTCCTGTTCCTAGGGGTCTGGAGATGGAAGTGCCTCTGCACATACATTAATTCTATGGGTATTCCTCCAATGTATTGACAGTAATGTTGATCCCCTGCTTTCCTCTTTCATAATGGAGAAGGAATCCATGCCATCTTTTAACTATTCAAGACTATTCAAGGTCCTGGGTGGCATGGCTGTGTCCCTTGGCTTCAGTACGGACTACTTGTGAATTCATATGGTTTTAACTTCACTTTTAGACCTTACACATCAGGCCAGTGCCTTGTATGTGTGCCTGCATGCTGAATATTCTGTAACCCACTGAATTAGTGCTATATGCCTAGCATGTCTGTATTCATATAAACAGGATGAGAAATGCCCCAAGGATGGGAAATACATCGTTCTCTCCCAGACTTAAGCATTCCAATGTCAATTCTGTCTAATTTGCATGGTTCAAATGCAGCGGGTAGGGGTGGTGGGAAGCCCTGGAGAGTATTTGATATTTATTTGGCATCTTTGGCACTGGGACTGAAACACAGCCAATGTAATCATCACTCTTAAAATAAAGCTTAATATAAACCAATGTTGTAGAGACCAGAGATGTATGCCCCCACTGCACTTCTATAAACCAGCAGGCTTGCTTCCTAATGTTCCCCAAGCTTTGTGTATTTCTCAGCTTTCAATAGAGGCCTTTCTGGTGGAATTTTTCACTGCCCAGCTCTTCACACAGTCGTCACATTGATTTATTTTCCACTCCAATGTCAGCAGCCCAGTTGCGAGGGGAAAATTAAATCTTTTAGCAGGCTGTCCTTGGTAAGGCAAAAGACTGCTACCACCCAAATACTCTGCCTGCCCACAGCCATGATTAAATTCAGATAACTGCTCTGGTTTAATTTTCCATGTGCCTCAGCTAGACTGAACATGTACCCCAAAGAACACGTGTCAAGCTTTTCCAACCCAACTGACCGTGATGGGACCATTTTATTTTTTTTTTAAGTAATTTCAGGGAATTTTTTATATTTAGATAAAAATTTTATCAGTACCTATTTCATATGGGTTTAAGGAGTTGGGAAACTGTGCAGTGAGTCCTGCTTTCCAAGAGTCCCAAGGTGAGGAATATCCTGAGTTCTCTCTTCAGGAATTCTGATGGTGTGAACAGCTGTATTCTCTGCTGGGTAAAAAATGGCTGGACCCAGAGAGTGGCTGGTGGCTAGTCCCAAATGGTGTTCCCCAGGGCTCAGTATTGGAGCCAGCCCTGTTTCATATCATCAACAACCTGGACAAGAGGATTAAGTGCCCCCTTATCAAGTTTGCAAATGACACCATGTTGTGTGAGAGTGTTGACCTGGGGAAGGGCAGGAGGGATCTGGACAGGCTGGATCAATTGGCCAAGGCCAGTGGTAAGAGGTTCAGCAAGGTCAAGTGCCAGGTCCTGCACTTGGGTCACAACAGCCCCAGGCAGTGCTTTAGGCTGGGGGACGAGTGACTGGAAAGCTGCCTGGCAGGAAAGGACCTGGGGGTGCTGGCCTACAGCAGCTGAACATGAGCCAGCTGTGCCCAGGTGGCCAAGAAGGCCAATGGCATCCTGGCCTGGATCAGCAATAGTGTGGCCAGGAGGAGCAGGGCAGTGATTGTCCCCCTGTACTCAGCACTGGTGAGGCCACACCTCAAATCCTGTGTTCTGTTCTGGGCCCATCAGTACAAGAAAGACATTGAGGTGCTGGAGCAGCTCCAGAGAGGGGCAGTGGAGCTGGTGAAAGGTCTGGAGAGTATGAGGAGCAGCTGAGGGATCTGGGGGTGTTTAGCCTGGAGAAAAGGAAGCTCAGGGGGGACTTTATTTCTCCCTACAAGCACCTGAAAGGAGGCTGTAGCCAGGTGGGGGTTGGTCTCTTCTCCCAGGTAACAAGTGACAGGAAATGGACTTAAGTTGTGTCAAGGGAGATTTAGGTTAGATATTAGAAAAAAAAAATTTACAGAATTGGCTATCAAGCATTGGAACATGCTGCCCAGGGAAGTGGCAGAATCACCATCCCTGGAAGAGTTTAGAAAACGTACAGATGTGGAACTTGAAGACATGGTTTAGTGGTTAACATGGTGATGATGCTGGGTTGACAGGTGGGCTTTATAACCTTGGAGGTCTTCCAATTCTATTGGAAGGTCTCTTCCAATTAACAATTTTATGATTCTGTGTATATCTGAAATTGCCTAGGTGACCTAACTTTGACTGTCAATGAAAGCTCTTTTCCAAGATGAAGGGATATTTATCTATTGGGTTAGTTATACGTTTAATTAATTTTCAGCCTTGACAACTAACAAAATAACTGTATTTATGACAGTGCTTATCCTGTATTACCCTGGCCCAGATTTACTGAGAAGTTCTTGTTGTAAAGAAAAGCTAGAGATCTGACTACCTGATATTTTTTAATATTAGTCATGTCAATCTTAATGTCAGTTTTCTTATTTGTGGGACAAGTGTCACTTTTGTGGGCTCTTCTTCATCTTGATACCATCATGATGGCAGAATAGGTTCTGTATTCAAACACACACTGTAGCCTTCCTCTTTTTGCTCCTTTCAGTGTTCAGCATTTCATGCTCCTGGGCCTTTTTTAGATTTTGAGCAAATGCATCCCATTATCCAAGCTAAATTTTTAACATATCCCCAGCAAAGCATATGCCTGCTGCAGGAGGCAGGTCAGGCAACCAGCCAGCTGTACCCCCATGTTAACTGTATATTGTCCTATATATTTTAACCAAACAGGGGAGCCACATTCCCATTTCTCTGTGGCAGCAGAGAGATGGTTCAGGAATACAGTATGCAGCTTTAGTATCAATATTAAAATAAAGGACCAAAGGCAGAGAAGAGACTTTACAAAGTGTCAAGGACTAAAAAAGCTTAACAGTGAGAGTCTTAAGGAGCTCAGACTTCCTTAGGGTATTGAAAGGAAAAATAAAGGTTGGAAGTTGATTCTGTAAAATCTGAGTATCTCTATAGGGACAAAGGCTCTTAAGTCTAGTAGGGAAGAACATGATTAACTGAATATAAACAAAAGTTGATCAAAAATGATCAAAATTTCTTTAAGGGAAGGGCAGTTCTAAGCCAGAGTGAAATCATGAGGGACATGACTGATTCCCTCTCTCTAAGGCTTTCATCTTAGGCCTGATGTGTTTCAGAAAGTCTTGCTTTAGTCAAACCTGAGTTATGGTCCCAAGAATAATTTGATTCACATTCTGTGGGTATGATACACAGGAAATTAGATTAGATTACCCTGCTGCCTTCAGTCTGGATCTGGATATGTGAGTGAAAACTTCTGTGTTTGCTGAGTGTCTTTGCAGTTAATATCCATATTAGCTTTTTTTTTTTTTGGGGGGGGGGGTGTAGGAGGGAATGGGGTGAAGGGAGAAGCATGGGGAGAAATCAGAATTGACATTTGCAATACTACATAGAGCTGTGTTAAGTTTCCCCCAAAACCCATCTAGTAGCAGCAAAGTGAGGCAGTAGCTTGGATTTTTGCAGGCCATGTAAGCAAAACCCGATAAGACTTTTTTTTTTTTTTTTTTTTAAACTAGGCATGCTTAAAACAACCTTGTAATTCTTTATAGGTCTTGTCTTGTTTAAGGAAGTTCAAAGCTATGGACTTTAATTGAGTTACTCTTGCTTTACAATAATGTAAATGAGATGAGAATTTCCCTTCCTCATGGCCCTGGTTTATATTACAGCATAATAGCCAAATAGTCTTCACTTAGAGTTTTGAAACAGAAAATCTCCGGTAAAATTCATTCTTAATTTTCAGTTTATGTAATAACTCCAAGGCACAGCTTGTTACTTATTGTATGTTTCAAAGTAATTAAGGGAGCACTTGTAGGGAATTGGTTTATTAGCCAGTACTTAGTATCCTTACTGAAAAAAAACCGTTGAAATTGTTCACAAGTGAGTCCTATATAATAGGAACAGCACTTTAAAATTTAGTCTTAGCTTTAGTACATTTTAGTCTCTTTTCTAATTCTGATATAGTCATATTACACAGGGCCTAAACTAAACTAGATCAAAGGGAATCCCAGCCTGGGCTTCCCTTATCTGAGAAATTCTCTTTGGTCCCTGCCAATTCAGAAATGAGTTTTAGTTGCCAAAATGAGTGTATTATGGCTTGCTGTGTTATCAGCAAAAATATTACTGCCCTGTGGAATTCAAGGTAAACAGGCAGCTTACAACAGTCTCCCTTATCATGTAACACAGCAGCTATCAGTACCTTAATTCAAAGTTGC